CGGCCGCCGTTGCGCAGGCGCGACCGCCCCCTCCCGGCGGGGAGGGATGGGGCAGCGGCGGTAATGGCGGTGGAGGCGGATGCCTTCAGCCTGCGGGAGGTCCTCGCCGCCTTCCAGACGTGCGTGACGGAGCAGCGGGAGGTGCTGCTGGGCCCCTACCTCCGCGGATGGCGGGGACTCATCCGGTGAGTGCCCGCGGCGGCCGCCCCCGGCCCGCGCCCGCCCGCCGCCCGCTAACGCCGGCCTGTCTCACCCCCCCCCCTCAGGTTCCTGCACAGCCTGGGCGCCATCTTCTCCTTCGTCTCCAAGGACGCGGTGGCCAAGGTGCAGATCATGGAGAACTACTGCGGCGGCGAGCAGCGGGAGAAATACGTGTCGCTGCAGTCCATGGTGGAGTACGAGCTGGCCAGCGGGCTGGTGGATCTCCAGAAGAGATCGGGGCGACCCGACTCCGGCTGCCGCACCGTCCTGCGGCTCCACAGGGCCCTGCGCTGGCTGCAGCTCTTCCTGGAGGGGCTGAGGACCGGCACGGAGGACTCCCGCACCTCCGTCATCTGCACAGACTCCTACAACGCTTCCCTGGCCGCCTACCACCCCTGGGTGATTCGCAAGGCGGCCACGGTGGCCTTCTGCGCCCTGCCATCCCGCAACGCCTTCCTGGAAATCATGAACGTGGGCACGGCTGAGGAGGCTGTGGCCATGCTGGGTGAGGCCTTACCCTACATCTGCGACGTCTACGGCATCACCCAGGAGCTCTTTGCCCAGCACAAGCTGCTTGACCTTCCCTGAGGGATGGTCACGAGCCGTGCCACGTTCTGACAGGAGTCGGGTGAAACGGGTGAAACCCGTGTGTTTTGAGACACACGAGGGGCTGGTTCTCTGCCCATGCTCGCTGTCCCTTTTCCCTTTCCAGTACGGAGCTGGCAAGTTGCAAAGCTATTCAGGATGCCTCACTTTATAAGAGAAAAAAATGCACCTTTTTTGTTTTTAAGATGTATGTATATCTATGTGTGTAGAGCCTCAGCTCTACAGCAAGAAAAAAAACACTATTAGTTTGCTTAAGGGATTTCTTTTCCTAGATTCACCTTAAACTCTCCAGCTAGACTGGGAGTATGTGGGGGGGGGTTCTTTTTTTTAAGCCAAACTCTGCAACTTAGCAGCTTCCGTGGGTTTACACCAATAGTGGGGACCTCGTGTGACAGCACAACTTTCAGATGTGGTGCCTGAGCACATTAACACTCCACGGGAGCTCGCTTTGCCACTTTTGTTTACAAACTATTCCCTTGAAGGGATCCTGGGGGGGTTCCCTCCGTTATGCTTTAACCATGAAAATACAATCACGAGTAACGCCTGTCTGAAAGAAAGCCCTTTCCCTTGTGGTCACAGACTCATTTGATTACTGCTGCTAATTCTGTGTCCCCAAGAATTAATGAAGGAAAGGGCAGTGTCTGTCATTCCTGTAAGAGACTGCTCTTCCTTTGTGCTTGGACCTTCCTCCCGTGTCGCTTCCCCTGCCCGTTAATCTCTGCTTTATGTACCAGTGGAACAGTTCATTAAGATGTGCTGCACACTACTATTTATGAGCTGGAGGCTGTATCTTACCTATTCTCCAGCCATGCTTCAAAACTGTATTCTCTTGATTATTTTTTTTTGTTAATGAATGTGTCAAATGCCTACAAAAATGACTTCTCTGGGGAGAAATCTGAACTTGTACTGTACATCACGACTTTGTGAGGCTTACAGCTTCTATTGCTAATCACTGCATACAATAGCCAGTGTGTGTATGTGTATATCTACATATACACACACCCAAGTATGTAAAATGCAGTTTACTTAGCTTTTTAAAAGCTGAAAAAGCACTAACAACATTGTTAATTCAGGATGATGTGAATATTCAGGGGAGGGGGAATCCCACAGGCTGTAACAGGGGTTGATGTATCTCGGATGGATGGCATTTTGTCCTAATCTAACACTGAACAATTCATTCAGGAAATCACTGTTACCTCATGGAGATTAAACAAACTGGACATTAAATTACGTGAATAACATGCTTCTGAAGAGTATCTTTTCTAGGAACACACTTGCTTTGTGATGATTAAATTACGTGAATAACATGCTTCTGAAGAGTATCTTTTCTAGGAACGCTTACTTGCTTTGTGATTCTGGAATGTGACTGTATTATAAGACACAAACTATGATGCAACCTAAATTACCCGCTGGGGAACTTGTACCAAAACCAAAGGTTTTCAACTGAAGTTGACATCATAGTTACAGCTTTCTCAGAGGGAGAAAAATTTAGATCAGCCAACAACAACTTCCTAAAACCAGCAGTAGAGCTGAGTGTTAGTCACCAACCTCACAGTCGAGGAACAGAACGTCCCGCTCCAGACACCTCCTTGGGGTGCACTGAGGAAGATTTGGTGTCTCCATGATGAGGTGACCTTGAATTAAAAAAAAAAATAATAATTACTGCTGTGTAAGTCTTTTACCACTACCCTTTAGTTCAGGCAACTGAATAAATTATTCTGAAGTTCATTTGAAAATAAACTATATGACATTCAGTGCTCCTAAGGAGCGTGGAGGTGAGTGCCCGGATGGGAGACAGCCAGGGAGAGCCTCGGGTAAGAGGAGGAAGCAATGCTGGAGAGCATGAGAGTGTTTTCCTCCTCATCCTCCCTCTGAGCAATGGCTGTGTGATGGTGACAGCACTTTTTCCACCAGGCTTTGGCTTCTTGGAGGCTCCTGTCAAAGCCCCCTCTCCTTGGGGATGCTTTGGATGAGCAGCCTGTGCCGATAAAGATCTGCTCCAGCGTTAGACTGGTCACAAATCACATGTGAAAACCACAAACAGGGACTGTTTCTACAAACATGCTCCATTAAGGATGTTTTTGGGGGTTAATGCAAAGGAGATGTGTCCAAACCAGGGCGGGACACTCCAGTTTCCCACCTATCCTGCAGGAAGTCCAATTTCCAGAGCCATGGGACTGAATTCAGCGCAGGTGACTCTGCCTGAGCAAAGGAAATCCGTGGTTTCCAGCCGAGCAGGCTCGGAGGGCACCGCTGGGAATTTGACTATTGCCCACTGAGGAGCATCACACATTTAATGCATTTTGCTAAACAAATCATTCCCCCTTATTTTCATCTCTCCCAGTTCTACTTAAAGAGACTTCCCGGGAACTGTCGAGGCTGGATCCCCTGTCCCCGTTCCCTCTCCCACACTCGCTTGGAGATTTCTTTGAAACTTTTTCCCCCCAAATAGACCAATGATGGTCCCGGAGCTGCTGCTGTGCCTGAGCTTGGGTTGTGCAGCAGCCCCCAAACCCACGTGCCTCTCTGCTCAGTTTAGGAGACCTGGTGATTATATCATCGGAGGCTTGTTCCCCTTCGGAACGGACCCCGTGAACCTGACGGCACGATCCGAGCCCACCTTAGTGGTGTGTGAAAGGTAAGAGGGAGGTTTGCTTAATTAGTGCTTGTTAAGTAGATTCACTGGCTGAGAAGAGAAAGCAAAAGGAAGCAGTCCTCCTGATGGCAACTGATGGTCTCACAGGAGAACACTAAAGGTGCTCCAGGGGCCTGGAGCATCTCTCTTAGGAGGAGAGGCTGAGGAACTTGGGTCTTTTTAGTCTGGAGAAGAGAAGGCTGAGGGGGGATCTGATCAACACCTATAAATACTTAAAGGGAGGGTGTCAAGATGATGGGGCCAGTCTTTTTTCAGTCATGCCCATGGACAGGAAAAGAGGAAATGGGCACAGACTTGAATGTAAGAAGTTCCATCTAAACATGAGGAGAAACTTCTTCACTTTGAGGGTGGCAAAGCCCTGGAAGAGGCTGCCCAGGGAGGTGGTGGAGTCTCCTTCTCTGGAGACATTCAAACCCCGCCTGGACATGCTCCCATGCAACCTGCTCTGGGTGGACCTGCCTTGGCAGGGGGCTGGACTAGATGATCTCCAGAGGTCCCTTCCAACCCCATATCATTCTGTGATTCTGTGTGAGATGGAAACAAAGATTAGCTCTAAGCTGTGCCATCCACTTCTGAAGGAGCATGGCCAGCACTCTGGGAACCACGGGCTCCGTGGCCAAGAAAAGGTCATCTGAGTCTTGACTCTCCCAGCTAAACACACTGCCTTTCTCTCTACCTTCTCTCTACCTCTGTACCTACTCTCTCTACCTTTCTTTCTTCTCCTGTGAAGCACAGAGGATCTATTTGCTGACAGACAGGATTAGTTAGATTTGAAAGGTGCTCAGAGCATCTCAAAAGTCTCAAAGGCGTTGGGCACAGGGATGCTCTGCTGACAGTGCCACAGAGACCTGGCCCGGCAACAGGTGGGATGCTGAAATGCCGAAGAATTTATTTGGAACAAACTGATCACGCAGGATTAATTAGATTTGAAAGGTGCTCAGAGCATCTCAAAAGTCTCAAAGGCGTTGGGCACAGGGATGCTCTGCTGACAGTGCCACGGAGACCTGGCCTGGCAACAGGCGGGATGCTGAATGAGGAATAAAATCACAGCTGTGACAGCACCAACAGACCCCACAATTCCCTCTCTCCTCCTCCTGCAGGTTATTTGCAGACGGGCTACTGTGGGCTCTTGGGATGAAGTTTGCCATCGATCAGATCAACAATTCCACTTTGCTTCTGCCAGGAGTGAAGCTGGGCTACGACATGTACGACACCTGCTTTGAGCCCGTGGTGGCCTTACAGCCCAGTTTACTGTTTCTGACCCAAAACGGCACAAGGGGCATTGGAGTCCTGTGCAACTACACCGACTACCAGCCCCGTGTGACCGCCGTGATCGGACCACACAAGTCTGATCTCTGCCTGGCAACAGCCAAGCTGTTCAGCTTCTTCTTGATCCCCCAGGTAAAGAAACTCTCTGAGAAGCAAGGATTCTCCTTTTTGGTGCAGGAAGGGTTTGTATCGACAACTCTAGCAGCAAAGCACAGATTCCAGTCTTTCCTCTGCCAGAGATTTCCTGAGTGACATTGGGTGGGTCATTAAACTTCCCTCCTGGAACACACTCCGGTGTCTAACTTCCCAGAGAGAAGAGGGATAACTCAGGCCTGTATCGACAACTCTAGCAGCAAAGCACAGATTCCAGTCTTTCCTCTGCCAGAGATTTCCTGAGTGACATTGGGTGGGTCATTAAACTTCCCTCCTGGAACACACTCCGGTGTCTAACTTCCCAGAGAGAAGAGGGATAACTCGGGCCGCTCTGTGATCCATGTAAAATGGGAATAACGGAGCTCCCAGCATAAACCAGGAGGATCCCATGAAAATATGTTCCTGAGTGACATTGGGTGGGTCATTAAACTTCCCTCCTGGAACACACTCCGGTGTCTAACTTCCCAGAGAGAAGAGGGATAACTCAGGCCGCTCTGTGATCCATGTAAAATGGGAATAATGGAGCTCCCAACGTAAACCGGGAGGATCCCATGAAAATACACCTGGAAGTACTCAGTCACCACAACAGAGAGCTATAAAGGTCAGGTAAATTTAGCCCTGAGCTAAAATATTACTGAATCTTGGGTGCGTCACCCTTTGTAGAAAGTAGCTAATTATCATTGTCATTAATGATAAGGGCTGGTGCTGCGATGATGGATGCAAATGGCAGCAGAAGGAGATAGCCATGGGGGACAGTGCTAGAGGAGGCAAGTGACAGGGGACAGGTTATGGTTCTCTTGGTAAATGCAGCCACAATGGACCTATTCCTTTAGAGAAGTTCTTCCTTCTCACTATCCTGACTCAGAATTTTTTAAATCTGGGGCACTGAGACCAAGCAAAGGAGGTGGAGAGTGATCTGGAATGTGAACACTTCCCTCAACTTCCCTCTTGCCCTCATTTTCTCTCCTACCTTCTAACCTGCAGGTCAGCTACGGAGCCAGCAGTGAGAAGCTCAGCAACACAGAGCTGTACCCATCCTTCTACCGCACCGTTCCCAGCGACAAGAACCTGGTGGAAGCCATGGTCCTGCTGCTCAACAAGTTTGGATGGAACTGGATTGCCACCATTGGAAGCGACGACGAATACGGCCGAGGAGCCCAGGGGCTCTTCCTAAGCACAGCTGGAAATCACAGCATCTGCATTGCATTCGAGGGGCTCATTCCTACAGACCTTACAGACCCCAAAGCCCAAAACCAACTGGAAGATACCATTAGGTTAATTAACAACACCAAAGTCAAAATCATTGTGCTTTTCGCCTTTAGTCAGCCAGCCCAGGCCCTGCTGGAACAAAGCATCAGGATGGGACTGAGTGAGAAAGTCTGGATTGGCACTGAAGCCTGGATATTGTCCGACATAACCGCCTCCATCCCAAATATTCAGAGCATCGGGACAGTCTTAGGCTTTATTATGAAAGCAGGCACAGTCCCTGGCTTCCAGAAATACGTGGCCGACCTCTTCACCTCCGTCCAGCAGGATAAATTTTGCCAGGAGTCTAGAGAACTCAACCATCTCATGAACTCTGACGTGCTGGGGGCACTTTGTGAAGAGTGTGACCGCATCTCGCTGCCCGACGTCTCGTCCCTGCTGAACCGCTCCCAAATACAGCCCGTCTACCTCGCCGTCTACAGCGTGGCCCACGCGCTGCACAGAGCCCTGGGCTGCACCCACCACGCGTGTCCCAGGGCATCACCCGTCAGATCTTGGCAGGTGAGTAAAGGCCAAGGGGAAAAACCAACAATTTTTTATCCAATTTACACATCGGAGCTGCCCACAGCCAGGCAGGGAGGGGGGATGTTGCACTGTGCTCCTCTCCCTGCCCTGGTAGAGATACCACCTCGGCAATTCAGCCCCTACACCAAGACAATGCACCTTCTCTGCTGCTGAAGGCCAGGGCTCCTTCTCCTCTCCAGGGCTGTGTTCTGGCCCCACTAATTGGGCTTGGCACAACAGAGCAGTTGATAATAGCCAGAAGGCTGATAGCTGCAATTGGAGCCCACGTGAGGGACAACTGATTTCAGCCAGAAAGATGGGCTTGGCACAACAGAGCAGTTGATAATACAGCCAGAAGGCCGATAGCTGCAATCAGAGCCCACGTAAGGGACAACTGATTTCAGCCAGAAAGGAGCACCCTGCCTTATCATCCTCCAAGCAAGAACATCAACTCTACCAACACTTACTGTCAATTTTCCTTTTTCTCCTCAGCTGCTGCACTTCATGAACACCCTCCCGTTCACGGTGAACGGCCAAAGTCTCAGGTTTGATCACTCCCACAGCACAAACACTGGCTACAAGCTTATATTCTGGTCCTGGGAAAATGGCACCCTTAGTTATCTGCCTGTTGGCGACTACGAAGAGTCCTTGTACGTCAATAAATCCCAGATTCACTTTCACACTGCAGATCAAAAGGTAAAGACAGTGGGCAAAAGCGTAAGTAATCACAAAATGAGGTAAACTTTTTTTGCTGCTTCATCAGGACTGTTCCTAAGGAGCTATTAGCCTGGAAGATTTGTGTGGGGGACAGTTCTTGCTCCTCTGCAGACCTGTAACCCATCTCCATTGCACAAAAACTAGAAGAAGGTATTCCCACCACTGGTTAAGACTTAGACACAAGCTGGATCCCAGCACAGCCCATTTCTGGTCATATGTTTGGTGATACAGTGCCTCTCCCGAAAGCATCTGGCTGACATTCACTCTTCCTTTTGCCCAGGAGCCCACGTCAGAGTGCTTCAGCCACTGTAAACCAGGACAATTCAAACAAATAAAAGGATTCCACCTCTGCTGCTACGACTGTACGGATTGTCCAGAAAACACCTTCTGGAGCGAAAAAGGTGAGGTCTGAGAAATTCAATGGCTTTAAGCATCTCTATTGTGTCTATCTACTGGTTGAGGTCACACAGATGGTAATGACAGTTGTGAGCTCTTCCTCCCTGCAGCACTGCCAGGGGATATCTTCCTCCCTTTTGTTCTGCATTGCTCAGTCTTGCTCTACAGATCCTCAGAGGGGGACCTTCCTCTGTCGATGGCAAAGAGAACGCAGAAGGACAATGTGTATGTTTTACCTCAAGAGGTAGGAGAGGGGGGTATGATGAAATTCGGGGGTCATAGGTAGAAGAGAGGCACACGATGAAGTTGTGGGATCTTTTGGAAGCTGGTGATGGGAAACAGAGCCAAGAAATATGTACATGCTTTAGGGAGAGGGTGGAGAAGTGGAGGGGAATAAGAGATTAAACTATCCCAAGCTTTGGAGATGCAATATGCTTAGGAAGAGGGCAGAGAAGTGGAGGGGAATAAGAGATTGAACTATCCCAAGCTTTGGAGATGCAATATGCTTAGGAAGGGGGGGGAAGTAGGCAGGGCAGCACCCAAACCAGGTAGCTAATGCATGACTGTGACCCTTCCTCAAGACCTGCCATCCTGTAGGTGGTCATCAGCTTCTCCCTGCTGTTTTGCAGGCAGCTCCACCTGCACACCCTGCCCGGAGCAGCAGTGGTCCCCTCTCCGGAGCACACGGTGCTACGACCGCAGCGAGAGGTACCTCTTTTGGGACGAGCCTCTCACCATCGCCTTGCTAACGCTGATGTCCATCACCATATCCCTGACCTGTCTGACAGCAGCAATCTTCTTAAAGAGCCTCCAGACTCCCCTTGTGCAGGCGGCAGGAGGCAAACTGAGCCTCTTCGCCTTGTTCGCGCTCACCCTGCTGTGTCTCAGCTCCTGTCTCTACATCGGGAAGCCCAGCAACACCCTCTGCATGATCCAGCAGATAGTCTACGCCCTCTGCCTCAACGCCTGCTTCTCCACCTTCTTCATCAAGTCCTTGGAGATCACCCTGGTGACCGAGTTCCCTCGCTGTGCCCCCACCTTCTTGCGCTGGGTGACCGGCAGAAGGGCCTGGCTCCTGGTTGTCCTGTGCCTCTTGGCTGAGTGCTCCTTCTGCATCTGCTACCTCCTCCTGGGCCCTGACTCCCTGCAGCCCGATTACAAGTCACTGCCCAGGGAAGTCCTGCTCGTGTGTAAGACACAGTCCTGGTTTGCCTTCGCCCTGATGCATGGCTACAACAGCTGCATAGCCCTCATCTGCTTCCTCTGCACCTTCATGGTCCAGACCTTGGGGAAGAAGTACAATATTGCCAGGGGGATCACCTTCGCCATCCTCATCTATTTCATCATTTGGATCTTCTTCGTTGCTATTTTCGCCACGCTCAATACAGTCCTCAGGTCTGTTACTCAGATTGGGACCATCTTGGCAACCAGTCTGGGTATCCTGGGGACCTACTATATCCCTAAGTGCTACATCATCTTGTTTAAGCCTGATGTGAACACAGTGGATTACTTCCAGTATTCCATCAAAGAGGAGCCAGAGGAGGATTCTCAATAAACAGGCAATAAACCAGATCCATCATCACCTGCTTCCGAACAGAATCTGGCTATACTTTAATGAGATAATTCTGTTTATGATAACTTTATAAGCTGTGGTCTCAGTTTCTGTTTATGATAACTTTATAAGCTGTGGTCCCAGATACAATCATAGAATCGTCTAGGTTGGAAGGAACCTTTAAGATCATCTAGTCCAACCATCAACAATCACCATAAGAAATACAGCCTTATCCACTAGGCTGAACACCACTTCCCTGTAAAGACTGCTGGTAATTTCCATTTCTTATTAATTAGCTTTCCGATATATTCAACAGCATGGAAATAATAACTAGAAAACCAGAAGGGAATCAACTGAAAAGGTGTGAGATTAGAGAAGACCACAAATAATAACTAGAAAACCAGAAGGGAATCAATTGAAAAGGTGTGAGATTAGAGACCACTAACAGAAAGCCTTGTGATTAACTAATGATACCGAGTACCTGCCTACACAGGATCCTCTATAAAGACCTTCTCCTAGAAGACATCCAAACATTATCCAAAACCACAGCTCCTATAATCACAGTCTATACACATCTCTGTGTGTTTGTGTACTTGTTTAATTAAAGTGGAGTCAGTGACATCCTACAGCTCTGGGTCTCTTTGACTACTATTTTCTTGCCTACTTTAGCACAAAATCCGAACCCATTCTGATCTGCAGAGACAGACAGAGTATATCACCCATTCAAATCTCAATTCACTCATTTGTGTTTCATTAACGTGTTTGCAAAGAACAGGAAAATGAGGATGAGACAGGAAAATGCAAACAGAAAGCCTTGTGATTAACTAATGATACCGAGTACCTGCCTACACAGGATCCTCTATAAAGACCTTCTCCTAGAAGACATCCAAACATTATCCAAAACCACAGCTCCTATAATCACAGTCTATACACATCTCTGTGTGTTTGTGTACTTGTTTAATTAAAGTGGAGTCAGTGACATCCTACAGCTCTGGGTCTCTTTGACTACTATTTTCTTGCCTACTTTAGCACAAAATCCGAACCCATTCTGATCTGCAGAGACAGACAGAGTATATCACCCATTCAAATCTCAATTCACTCATTTGTGTTTCATTAACGTGTTTGCAAAGAACAGGGAAATGAGGACGAGACACAGGGAAATAAAGAGTGTGCAAATCCCACTATCCAAAGTCGTGACAAAAAGCTCCTCCCATTTCAAAAAACATGCAGAAATGACCAGAGAGAAACATCTCCTACCCAAATCCGAACCCATTCTGATCCGCAGAGACAGACAGAGTATATCACCCATTCAAATCTCAATTCACTCATTTGTGTTTCATTAACGTGTTTGCAAAGAACAGGGAAATGAGGACGAGACACAGGGAAATAAAGAGTGTGCAAATCCCACTATCCAAAGTCGTGGCAAAAAGCTCCTCCCATTTCAAAAAACATGCAGAAATGACCAAAGAGAAATATTCCCGACCCGGTGAGACATTCTGCAAAAGGGACAAAATAAATCAAACACTTTGAGGAATAAGAAATGCCTCTCACTTGTATTCACACCTGTAGCCAAACGTGACTCCCAGGTGCCCGTGGTAGCACCATTCAGGACAGCAGCTCCCCCCCAAAGCTGTGGATTTGCAGCTACTCAGAAAAGTGCTACTTCTAGAACCACTGGGGCAAAAGGCTTGAACTCAACTCCTAGTGCTGCCAAAAGCAATACCTCATTTAACTTCAATGTAGGCAACTACCTGACCAGCTTTAAAGCAACCTGATGTGCCATGGGCTGAGGAGCTTTGCAGGTGAAGACAAACTCCCTCTGAATTGTGTAAGCTGCTAGGGCTGAGGAGCTTTGCAGGTGAAGACAAACTTCTGTTGAATTGTGTAAGCTGCTAGAAAAATCACTGAAAATTTACTGTTACAAAAGACTTGAAAATTTGTGCTTGAGGGAGATTGTTCTTCCCCCCTGACCTGGACTTCATTTTTGTGAGGTGAAAATGGAAAACCCACATTACTACCAAATTACCATATTACTACCAGACAGTAGCAAGTAAATATCAAGTCTCATCACTAAGATCTTCTCTTTTTCCTACCCACTTTAACAAACAACTCTACTGTTCTTTTATTCCCCACATTAGACTTACAGTTTTTCCATATATCCACTACGTGGTGTTGGAAGTTACCTCAACAACTCAGCTCAATTAAAAGGATTTGCAAATTTATCTAAACCAGGGGATATTTTCATTCTTAAAAAATTGGTGAACTGCAAATCTATCTGTCCTAGATTTCTGAGGCTATCTGCAAAGAAAATTCTCCTGGCATATTTGAAAGATTAAAGCGTGATTAAAGACAGCAAAATTCTGACCTGGAGACTGGAAGTCCTTGTTTCTGGAGACTTCTTCAGCAAGTCTTCATCAGCACCTGAGAATCTCAGCAGTATTCCTCACCTCAGAGCTGTGATTCTGTAGCAGAGAAGCACTAAGGAACTTTTGATCATCATTCCAGAAACAGAGAAGGAAAAAAATCAAATTTACCTCTATTACTTTTCTTTCTGGCAGCAGAGCTAAAGCCACAATAGACTGTTTTTTCTTTTCCTTTAGAGGGAAAGGGAGGGGGCAGGGGGATAGGGAGGAGGGGAAAAGCAGCTGATTGAATTGTTCAATCAGTTCCAATCACCTGCAGACAATTCACACGAAGGTCAGCTGGAGCCCATCAGGCCCTGCAGTAAAAAAGGCTGCAAGACCATGTCCAAAATTCTCATTATTTCACCTAACTGGGAAAAAAATCTGATCTTATTCACCTTACTGGGAAAACACTGGGCAGACCATTCTGAATCCTATGTAAACACCCATGGTTTGAAAGGGAGAATATTGGAAACTCTGCAAGACTTTCTCACAGGCTTTTATGTAAATCTGCTCAGAATGGAGCCGTTTATAATGGGCACCTCCATAATAACTACAACTTTGTCTCTCCCTTTGCTACCAGCTACAAAGAGTGTTATTCTTTCTCCATGAACCACTCAGACCTTACAGGGAGGCTGGGTGTCCTCGTGTTCCATGACAAATACACTGTGGTTTAAGGCTTACCAGTTAGATCCTACTGAGCCCAGCTTGTCTCTGCTGGAGTTTGCACACAGAGTCCAGAGAAGGGGAATATTCACATGAAACAGCTGGGTTCTACCAGCAGATTCATCTCCTGGGTCTCCAGGCAGGAAAATTTGTTCCAGCTCATGTCTTTGTATCAGGATGGATCCTCCAGCTGCCTTTTACTTCCATAAACTTTCTTCAGCCTTTCCTTTATACCTACTTCTGCCAAGCTGTGAGAGGGAGAAGCTCAGTAATTAAGAGTTAGGGCAATTTAAAGGGAAAGCACAACTTCTGCACCGATATATTAGTCATTAGCTGAAAACTACAGCCCTTCTGATGAATGGCAGGGTCTTGTGTTTCCAGTCAGACGTCATTAACCTGCGTGGAAGAGTCAGGCCCCAATCATCTGTGACTCAGTTTAGCGGTGAATATTTACAGGGTTCCTGTCATGTTTTGACCTGTAAGCACTTCTGAAGTGCCATTAAATCACAGAATTCCCTGCTGCCTGTCACTAGGCCCTGGACAATCTTCTCTTGTCGAGAGGGGACAACTTCAGTGTGGCAGGGGATAAAAAATAAATTAATATTCAACCCATATTTCATCATTCTTGAATAAAAGATAATGCAGTAGTGCAAAGAACTGAAGACATACGCCGTGGTTATCACATAAAATTAAAAGCTTTTTAGTGTTTAAAATAGCATTTACACATAAGCAGCTATATATTAACTATACAGACACTTGGGTTTTAATACAATATCTACAAAAAAGAATTCAATTATGCAATAGACATTTAACAGGAACAGTGCAGTCCATGCTAGTAAGAGGTCACTCTTGGAGTAGAACCAATTCTAGAATAGGTGATAGTCTGGGTTTTCATTATTTAAAATCATGTAACTTTGTTCCTCTACTGTACATAAAATTCTTTACATGTATTTCTAATCACTGATTAGAATTAATAATTTTAAGTCAATTTTATTACAATCCAGTTAAATGCAAACCAAAAACAATTACATCAACTCATGAGCCGTCAAGTCTCAAGATGGGACTGCCCATTTGAATAGAACAAAAATAATATCAAAAGTCAACGTCTGTGCATCATCGCTTGCCATCCAATATACCTTTGGATAAAGTGTCCGGGGGACTGTTACCTTTGAAAAGTAGATTTATTAACAGGAGGTAAAAGACAATAGCAGTGCTTTTTAAGACTATTTGCCAAAAAACTTACTCCTTGGAGCTAATATCCCGGGTGGGTACAGGACCCCTACGGATACTGCCTCCTTGGAGTAGGAGACGTCATCCCAAACTGTTTTCTCATCATTTTCCATGATCTTCCCACCATACCTGTTAATCCTTGTTAAAGCTGCTGGCAGGTATGTGTGAACGTTAAGCTCAGCTGCAGAGCACGGGCAGATGTTGAGGGTCTCACTTCCAGAATAAAAACATCAACTCTCTAAGGCTCCTGTTGGGAGGTTGTTTCAATGCCCTGCGCAGCAAAGCCCTAATTTCTCCCTGCAGTTAGAGGCACAGGTCATGCCTTCTACAGCCTGGCCAGTGCTGCCTATTTGATGTTAAAATCAGAGAAAAAATTCATGGCCAGGTGAGAGGAGCAGACAGCTCTGCAGGACTCCAGCCTCCAGACATCCTTCCACCCAGCACAGTTTCTCCCTATGGGATGGAGCATCCCTGGCATCGGTGGCTCCTCTTCCTGCAGGTCGGGCTGTACCCGAGAGGGGAAAGTCGCCCCATTGGGCCCCCGCCTTGAGAAGACACATGAACTAAACGTCAAGGATTGAGATCTGGGAGATCTCCCATCTTGATTCGCTTCTGGAAATGAAGAGCTAGGCATGGTTCAGGCCTGACCTTCCCCTCACTCAAACCAGCCTCTCCACCGAACGCTACGGGGGGTGGGGAGGAGGA